GAGGTCCAGTAACCCTCGTTAGGGTTTTAGAAAGTGTAGAATGCGGAAAAGACTATTATACCCAGATTTTTCTTCTTTTTCCTTTTTTTTTTTTTATTTTCTTTATAAAAAATAAAAATAAAAATCTCATAATATTAAAAATATCGAAATATTTAATTTCAAGCACAGATACAATTTAAATAAAGCTTTTATTATGTCCTACCCACCTCATGGGTGTTATTGAATGCATTGATATTTTTTATACTAGAACTTAACAGTAAATTTTTTTTAATCTAATTAGTATAAGAGAGTATCATTTGAGTTATAAAAATATTAAATTGCTTGTGATAATTTTTATTCATATTCTAAATTTTTTTAATAAATTATATAATAAAAAATAGTTTTCATTCTTTTTTCAAACTCTCCTCAACTTGTCCCAAATTTTAAAATTAAAATTTTTGATATAAAAACTCAAATCATTAACTATTGAAATGTTCCTTAGGTTGTTCATATCATTAATAACTCTTATGCATTAACAGTTTGGTTAGTTTGAGGAAAGGAAAGGATGAGAAACTTGGAGAAAAAAATGGAGGTGAGGGCTTTATTTTATTTCACTTTAATTTCTTTGTATTTTAGTTTAACTAAACATGGGATAATGGTATGTTTAGTTTGTGTGAAATAAAAAAGGTGAGGAGTAAAAATAATCCTTTGGAGGGTAATGACATGGGTTGTATAATTTTTCTATACAACTTTCATATATCATTAAATAAATCATATCTACAATATTACATATTTTAATAAAATGAAAATATCCAATTATTGAACGATACATAACATTATAAATTTTTTTTTTCAATTATTTCCTATTGATTATACTAAAATGCGGACAAAATTAAATCAAAATAAGAGGAAGGTCATCCTCCTTCTACTCCCCTTGAATCAAACAACCTACAAGAGTATTATTCTTTATAAGATTATTTCAATACTTTCATAATTTAGAGAAAAAGATTTTTATTTATTTATTTTTAAAAAATAAAGAAAATTGTTTTGTTTGGGAGGAAGAAAGGTAGGCTAGGGAAAGCCCAGACCTTGACTGTTCGGAATTTGGATGGACTAGTCTTTTGGGCTGGACCAAATAATTCCTAAATATAATTATAATTTCGAAATTTACTACTTATACCACGTATAAAACCCGGCTAAAACCCTAGCCTCCTCCTTTCGATTGCTCCTCCCTAGTCCTGTGCTGACTCACTCCTTCGTCCCTCAGAGAGTTAGAATCGCGATAGCAGAGACTAATGGCGGGAATTATACCTCCGGTGAGCGACGCATCGAAACAGCAGTCCGGTAAACCGGCGGAGAAAGTGGATTACTTAAACTTACCTTGCCCTATTCCCTATGAGGAGATCCACCGCGAAGCCCTCAGTTAGTATCCAGTCAACTCTGTTTATCATCGTTTTCTTTTATTAAAGATTGTTATTGAGTCTAATGTTCATGCTGGTGATTATGTTTATTTTATTTTCTTTTGCTTTTTACTATTATTTTGTAAAGATTTGGTGATTTCTTGATCTATGTGAAAAAATTTTTTGTTGTTATTTTGATTTCACATGATATGTTGCAGGTCTTTAGGGGTGGGTTGGATGTTAAAACACTGTTTTTTGAAACCCTAATAGTTACTGTTAATGAAATTGAAGGTTGTTTTGGGTGTTTTCCACAATGCATTTTCCCTGAAAGATCAGACATTTTAAGTAGCAGGGTTTTGACTCTTTTTAGTTTTACTTGCATTTTTGTCTTTGGTAGTTGTAAATGGCATTGGTACGGTGATGTTTGGATCGTTAAGTTCTTTGAATATGGTTTATAATAAAAATAAGTTAGCGAAATTTTCTCTTATATCGAATTTGAGTGTTGAAACAAACATAAGTTGCATCAATGGGAGATCGGATCTGTTGGGCTTCATAAATAGAACACATTAGTAATATGCCCAAATTCCAAGGAAGCAAAATAATGGCATAAAGCTAGGCGGTAATTGTGTGAGTAGTTGTAACTAGTTTGTAGTGCAGAATTAAGTTTTTGATATTAATGGGACAAAAGGATGATAAGGCCACCAAAAGACTGCCATTTTTTGCTAAGATTGGAAAAAGAGATGGGATTCATAATTATCAATATTTTATCGAAGTTACAAGGTTTTCTTGGCTGTGCTCGCATACAAGGCCTTTTTGGTAGAGAACATATTTTTGTGCATTCCACTGTTTGGTTTCTTGTAATATGTGTTTGGCTAGTGCTGGTAAGATACATTTATTTAAACGATTTCCAATCTAACTAGGTATACTTTTGGAATATTACTTGTACACTCCAGTTTTTTGCTGCCAGTATTTATTTGTGGAATAATCATTTCCTTTGTTAATGATGCCTTTTCGACATTTACTGTTTGATAATGTTGCACGCAAGCTTGGATTCAATATTACAATAGCATATTTGCAGCTGAATATTAAATTGACCATAGAATTTAGAAAGTAGCGAACAAAATGGCCATAGGCTATTCTTTTTTATGCGAAGCAAATATTTACTAGCTTGAATATGCCTTGCAGTGTCTTTGAAACCAGAACTTTTTGAGGGATTGCGATTTGATTTCACCAAAGGACTAAATCAAAAATTCTCACTCAGTCACAGGTGGCTTCCCGTTCATTGTCTCTATAAGCTTCTAGTATATTTTTCACCTATGCTTTTACTATGCTACTTAATGGTATCCTTACCATCTTGATTGTCCATTAGTGTATTCATGGGGTCGACAGAAGTTCCTTCACAATCTTCTGAAACCATAAAAGTCCCTTCTGCTAACTATGAGTTTGGTGCGAACTTCATAGACCCAAATGTAGGTGGTCAAATTCATTCTTTTTTCTTATAATTTCCACCTCAAACAGTTTTACACTCGTAATGTCAGTCAAATTGGTAGCAATGATAGCTTTTCTGCAGTTGATGCTTATTGGAAGGGTGTTGACGGATGGTAGACTTCATGCAAGGGTGAAGTGGGATTTGTCTGAGAATCTCACTTTGAAGGCTAATGCCCAGGTATACTGTGCTTTCATTTTCTTTCTTGATTTTTTTCTTTTGCCATTTTCTTACATAGAAGTTATTTATTTTCTTATGTAAACTAATTGATAATTTTTTACCTCCCAGCTGACAAACGAACCCCATATGTCACATGGCATGGTCAATTTTGATTTTAAGGTGAGCCTGTCTTTCTTAATTTATGTTTGTGTACTTTAATCTTGGGATGTTTTCCTTTCTTTATTGCTGTCAACATCATACTTGGTGAGTTTTCATCTCTTTTAAGTTTCATATATTCTTGCCTTGAAGTTATTGCAAGTGAGACATAGCTTATCTGCTAAACATCAACAAAAGTTGAGGGAGGGACAAAAGATGCATATTCACTACATGTAGTTCTTTGCTTGGTTTTCTACATGCTGTTGGCCTATGAATTGAGTGTCTACTGAGGACGTTCTACTGGATTTACATCTTTGTTTTCTTTTACAGGGTAAGGACTACAGGTCTCAACTTCAAGTGGGAAATGGTGCCTTAGTCGGAGCTAATTACATACAGGTGAATTGTAGTCACGTTATTATCTGTTACATTCACTGATCCCTAGATAACTGGTACGCTACATTCAATTTAAAAGACATAAAACTCATGATAATGAACTAGCCATTGGCTGATGTTAATATAAATCAATTGTCTGAACTTTTACATGCATATGTAATCGTTTTAGAGTTGATTTGTCTTTGCAATGGCTAACCTAAGATATGAAGCAATTGGGATCCATCGAAATAACAACACTAAAACTTTATAGAGGTGATTAGTTGTTCTCATAAATACTTCACACCATATTGGTATCTAAATTTAGTAAAAGTCCCTTGGTTTTCACATGAATTGGCTATGCTGACCTCCATTTTTTCTAAACATTCTTGGGGCTGTAAAAATCTGCTTAATCACTGTAGAGCAAAGAAGTTGGCTGGTCTATCAAAACCGTGGAAATAGTTGAGTCTTAATCCTTGTTTGTTCAGTTATGACAACCAGCTTCCAGGTTATAATGGTCGGGATTATAGGAAGAATCTGCTTTATGTATCATTTACTGAAAAATCCATAAATTTATACAGACATGGTCTTTTTTTTTTTTTTCTCAACAATTCTCTTTATCTAGTTAATGGTGTTAATAAAGATTTTATTATAAAGAGAAAAACATTATTTATTCAAATTATACACAGCAGCTATTCTTTATTTTTGCAGAATGTGACGCAGCATTTATCTCTGGGTGGTGAAGTATTTTGGGCTGGTCAGCACCGAAAGTCAGGCATTGGGTATGCTGCCCGGTATGAAACTGATAAGATGGTAATGCAGCTTGTTTCACGCTCTATTACTAGCTTTTTCTACGTTTATTTGCAGAATAGAGGGTGTCGGCTTTTTAGTTCTAGGTAGTTTTCTTGGTACACCTATTCACAAGCTGGGGTTGTTGGTTAGATCTTGCTTATTCAAATTGCGAGAGATGGTGACTAAGGTGTTTTTTTTCTACATTTCCTATATCCCTAATATAATTTTAGGTTTTTTTTCTTTTTTATGATATCATATTTCCAAAAACTTTAGTGATGGGCCAAATTTATATAATTGGGGATTTGGTTTAATCCTATCATTACTAAGGTAAATTTGAACATGCCATAAAAAACTATTTGGTATAAATCCTCGAGTGCAGCACGTTGTAGCCCTGTTTGCTTGTTGTATACATGTGAAAATGATAACTTCTAGCTTTGGTTTTGCCCAAATCTCTATGACATGATTCCCATGGAAAGTAGACACATAACTGCAAGATTCCTTACTCCTGCCCTCTTGACAAGACACTAGTTGGTTCAACCTCTGTATCTGTGCTCTATGTATTTTCCTTTTTTACCCCTTTTTAGGAGAATTGTCTAGGATTGCTTCTTGAAGTTGCAAAACTTGTTTGATAGAAGAAGTCATTTGCTCTTTTTTTCTTTTTTTCCTTAGCTTGTACATGCACTTTTAACTATGTCTAAATCAATGCACTATTTGCCTCTAGGTTGCTACAGGGCAAGTTGCTAGCACCGGAATGATTGCTTTGAGCTATGTTCAGAAGGTATCAGAGAAGGTAAGAAAATGATTGTCTTTTTTTCCCTGATGTATCTGTTTCTCCCTCTGAGGCCAGATTCCATACCTTTTCTTACAAAATTCCACTTCCATAAAGGTTTCTCTAGCTACAGACTACATGTTCAACTGGCTGTCAAGAGATGTGACCGCAAGTGTTGGTTACGATTACATACTTAGACAGGTAAATCTTATGAGGTGCCAATTTTAGTGTTTCAAAGTTTTGACTATTGTAATACATTTTTCACTCTAACTAGTCAGCGTTTGATTGACCCGCTCAACTTTGGCCAAATTACTCTTTTGCTAATCAGTATGAAGTTTGTTTTTCTTCGTCCTCAAAGTCTATTAATTTAATCACATGAGGTTTATTGTGCTTCACAAAAATTATTTTAATGAATAATGGAGATAATCTAACTGGGTTGTCTTTTCTTGCTTATTTTCTTTTCCCAGTCTCGTCTGAGGGGGAGGATCGATTCAAATGGATGCACAGCTGCTTTTCTTGAAGAGCGATTAAATATGGGTCTCAATTTTATTCTCTCTGCTGAGGTTAGATCCATTTCTCTCTCCATTCTTCAGTTTTTCTCTTATTATGGTTAATTTAAGTTGTTTTCTTCTCACTTGTGTCCCATTTACCAAAACCTCCTTTGGCTCATGACCTGTTTATGGCAATCTACTTTGTCCAGTAAAATTGGCAAAAAAAATTCATTATGCATGGTGATATTTTCAACTGTTGAATCTTGATAACTTTAACGTTATGCTTGAGAATAATCAGTTGCTGATCTTTTAGCCCTCTCAATCAGGTTGCTTAAGTTGTGGCTTTATGTTTTGCAGATAGATCATAAGAAGAAAGACTACAAGTTTGGGTTTGGGTTGACAGTTGGGTGATGGACTTGAATTTGTAGTCATTTTCTACATGGATACTAGGGAATTAAGCTCTGACATTAGCCACCCTCCATTGAAGAGATACAAAAAAATGTTTTGAATTTATTGGAGTAATGTTGTTAAGTTTCTGAGGCAGCACTGGCTGCTGCAGCAGTTTTAACGGCTGTATTTTCCCCACTTTTTTTTTCTGTAGCATGTCATATTAGATTATTAATTCAAATTGAGATGTTCAATATATTGTTTGAGGATGGATTTCAACGAATAATCTGGGAAAACTGTTATGTTTTGAACAAAAAACCAGAGAAATTAGGGTCATTGTAGGTATACTGCTTTTTATTTGGATCTTGTTTCATGGACAGGACCAAAATTCGAAAGCAAAATATGGAACTAGCAGCGGTTATGTTTCTGGCTTTTGTAGATAACTTCTTTTTTCTTTTGTTTTTTGAATTAGGGTTTGGTAATGAAGGTGGGAGTTTCCTCTCTTGGTGCTAATTGCTGATTGTGAATTTTCATTAGTCAAATTAGTAGATTTAGGAACCAAGAAGTTATGGGTAAATTATAATCTTATATGGATATAAGGTTTTTGAAGTACAAAAGTGATTTAGGAGAAAATTATCCTAAAACTCTATAAAGTGATAATAAGTGAATAAAAAGAAAAAATGGTTTACAGTTTAGACCATAAAATAATACACTTATAAGTAAATAGTAATTAACTTTTTTTTCTGTACCACAAAGACACCATAAGTGCAAGTATGTGCACTACACTTTAGTGCAATATACATAAAGCAAGAAAAATCTTTTACAGATTCTACCACTCAAAAAATGGCAAAAAGAAGGGGAAAAAAAAAGAAGAAGAAAGATTCTACCACGAAAGTGTAGTGTACATAAATTAGAAAAAGGAAAACCTGAAGAAACTTTTTTATCCAAGCTCTCATTGGCTACGATCTTCTATATTTTTAAGATATAATGAATTCCTCTATTGGGAGAATCATATAGGGGTCATCTAACTTTGATAGGTTCCACATCTTCAACCCTCAACCCATAATTCTAACAAATTGGTCACCAGAGCTAAAATGTTGCATCCTTGATGAACTGTTACCCAAGTTATGCTTCTTTGCAAGCCCTACACATAGCCAGAGATAGCTTAGGAGAATCCTTGTCCTATTCAACATGCTAATAAACATTGTTGAACCTGCAGCATAAGAAGATGGAAGGTTCAATTAATCGATCTATGTATTAGATAATGCACATAGGAAAAGAATATGAAGTTTTATACGAGGAGAAATTCACCTACACATCGGTTTTACACATTATATTAATATAAAATTTTAATTTTTTATTTTTTTATTTTTAATAGTTGAGATTTATTTATATTTATTAAAAGATGGAAGGTTCAATTAATCGATCTATGTATT